CTCCTCTGTAACACCATCAATCGATGAAGATCCTCCTGCCCATTTGCTCACAGTTTGCCCAGAAGCCAATCCAATTCCCACACCCACCCCAACACTCAACGCAGATAACAATACCTTCTTCGGCTCCATCTCCCTTACCCCAAAAGACCCTTTTTCTCCCAACACAAAAAACACAAAACACAGAAAAGCTTCAAACTTTCTCTTCTTCCTAGTCTTCAACCGATGAAAAACAGGGAAACCAATACCGTCTTGATCAAGAAAGTTCCTTTATGACGCAAAACAACAAACACCTTGGAAACGTATGTGAAGATTCAAAGAAAAAACGGGTCAAAAGCACGAAGATTCAAAGACGAAACGGATCAAAGGAGGAAGATTCGAAGAAAGACTAAATGGGGTAGCTGGAATTTCAATGTTTTGAGGGGGGACACAGAGGAAGAGAGAATGTGGAAGAGTAATGTATTTGTTGGTCAAATTGGTGCGGCCCCTCTCAACTATTTATAGCATGTCATTCTAATGGACGTCAAGTGCTTAGCCTTCGCCGGGGAAAGCCACCAGAAAATGTTTACTTTACTTTTCGCCTTTTGACTTTACCGGTGACCTCCTATTATGGGTTTCTCCTCTCCACTTTTATTTTTGTAGGGGTAGGTAGTTCCATTTTTCTTTTACTTTTTGTTCGGGTGGTTCCAATTTTCCTTGATCTCTTACTCCTCTTAAAATTTGAACTTCAAAACTTTAATCTCAAATCATAAAATCTTAACCACCAGTAGCATCTCACTCTTTTTCTCTTATTAACGGAATTGTGATATAAAGATAATTTTTTTATAATTTTTTATATAATTTTTATATATTATTAAATAAATATATATTTATTTAATATTATATTAATAAATATATTTAATATTATAAATTTTAAATAAATAAAAAATTAATTATTTAAATAACACAAAATTATATAAAAAGTTATCTCCAAATAATTTTTCTTTCTCTTTTATTAATCTTTTTAGTAGTTTTTATCCCTTTCTTTTCCTTTTTTTTTTTTATTTTTTTAAAAAACATTTTTTTTCCTTGAGCTTTTTGTTTATTGATAATTTCCAATTAATTAATTTACTGGTTACCTAAAGTTTGGTTTTGATGGTAACTCCATAATTTTTGACTGTTTGGAGAAATATATGTAATGAAAAAACTGTTTTACAAAATTGATTATATATTGTTTATTCTGTAAAATTATTTAAATACATTTATTTTTGTTTTTATATTATTTTTAGAGATATTTAATTAATTTTATAAGACGAACTACATACAATTCATTATAAAAAATAGTTTTCAGATATGTAATAAAAGCAAAAAAACCAAAAAATTTTATTTTTTAGGTTCAATAATGTCATGTGACATAATAGAATCAGTCCTAAGGTATAATGTATCCATAGATTTTAGGAAACCAACACAAAGATTATACTTGTTTAATTAAAAGAATTATATTTCATTGTTATCATTGTCATCCTAAAAAAGGTGTTTTGTAGAGTTGAGAGATTAAGGCAGGATTTGTGATCATTTACACAAATCAAATAAATATAAAAAATAAATATCAATCTTGAGTTAAATCTAGGAATAAGAAAAGTTTAGTTATATAATAAAGTTTATCTAACTTATGTTTTAAGAACATATGTTAAAATTCATTAATTATGATATTTTTAATTAATTTTATATAAATTTTTATATCATATTTATAATTTTTTACAGACTTTGAATACAAATATTATATTATATCATATTTTTATATTTCATATTATATTTTATTTAAATTTTATATAAAATTAATTACAAATACTATAATTATTAAAATTTAACATATACCTTTAGAACACAAATTAAGAAATCTCTATATAAAATTATAATTTTGTACTCCTAAGAAATAAATATCTCTTTTTTCAAATGACAAATCTCATCCCATTCATTTCAAAATTTAGACTCAAAACTTATCTAGAGGGTGGACTCATGCCATAAGAAACGTCATTCTAATTAGTGGAGATTTTGAATGACATTCCAACTGGACTCCAGGTGGTCCATGCATAAAGAATGATTATACTAACTTTACTTAATCTAAATTTAAAATAACTTTTGATTTTGTTATTTTCTCGGGAAGGTGACAATGATAAGGTGGTAAAGAGGCATTTATGGGAATATAATCATTTATTCCACTTTTTTCATTATTTACTAATTAATTAATAGATTTGTATAATCTATCCTTTAAATACATAGATTAAAATACAATAAATATATATTTTTATAATTAATTCATATAAAAATTTATGAAAGTTGACAAATACTTTAACACTATTAACATATAAATTACTTTAATTGGTTAATTGATTAAACCGATGTTAGTATTTACACTTTCAATGAAAATTAATTATTAAAAATATATCTATTGCACTTTTAATATGTACCATAAGAGTATAAAATATAAAAACTCTTAATTAATTACCAATCTTTGGCCCAATAACACTGTTGTTGTTGGATTAAACCTAGGCTAACTTATGATTTAAGAATTAATGTTAAAGGTTTTTTTTTTATCATAAATATATATAACAGTAAAAGTTGACATTAATTTTAGTGTTATTGTTAAATGAATTTAATTATATAGTTGATAAATTAAATGTCAATTTTTGTTTTTTCAACACAAATTTATTACAAAAAGATACATTTATTACATCCTCAATCTAAATGACAAGAGATTAAGAAAAAAAATTAAGTCGTTTGATAATTAAAATATTAA